AAAGCATGGAACAAATGACAGTTTTAATGCCAATAATTTAGACAAACCAATAGTTAAGACAAAAGCAGAGATGTTGAGAGAAAACTGAAGACTTTATTGGACACAATGTACAGAGCGATAAGGAGTCAAAAGGTGGCAGCAGAGAGCAAAGGTTCAGGTTTCTGCTTCCATTTACGAGACACACAAGATCAAACCTCCAGCTTTGAGTCTCTCTCATAGACTGTCCGTCTGCAGGTGTTGCCTTCAATACGGTGGTTCCCGTCTTTTCAAGACGAGCCGTCTGAATTCTGGCTTTGTGAATGTGTCGAGTAAAGCGTGGGATTTTGGGGTGAGTCTGATTGGAGCGGCGCCTGGGAGCCCTTTCCGTGCAGGTCCGATCCAGTGCAAATAATTTAAGCTTTAAAGGAGTTCACTTTCAGAATGAAAATTCTGTGATCATTTACTCACCCTCCACTTGTTCCAGTCCTGTATGAGTTTCTTTCTTCTGTTGAACACAAAAGAAGATATTTTGGAAAAATGTTGGAACAGTTAATGAGCACCATTGACTTCCATAGTATTTTTTTTTCCTACTATGATAGTCAGTGGTGCAAACCAACTGTTTGGATACCAACATTCTTCAAAATATCTTCATTTTTGTTCAACAGTCAACAAATGATGGCAGAATTTTCATTCTGGAAGTGAACTACTCCTTTAAAATGTGTATGGAATCATCTGTGGTAATTCAAGGCACTGGACTAAACAGGTTCAGTATATGGTTATAGGTTACTTTCAGGACTAAGGTAGTGAATTTTACCCAAAGAGAGACGCCAACCTGTTTCCCACAATCTCACTGCTGTGTCCTTCCCTGGAAAATAGGGAGTACTGCAAATATGAGTTTATGAGATTATGGATATGGCCATTAGAATTACATCTAATGAATATAAGATGATCTGTCTATTGCCAAACAGTCTAAGTTGTTTCTGGTCTAATGCTGCCTTTCACGTGCTATCGAAAATTTCCTGCTTTCCATTTCTGAAGTTCGTTAATAACGCACATCACGTTCAACTGCTTTGTTTTAAATAAATAAAAATAAATAGCATTCTCATTTAAGGAAAAATGTACTGAATATCAATTAATCAATGACCAACGGATTTTGAATAAAATATAACGTCCCGTTCGTTTACAACCATATATTTCTATGGTATAGCTATGTATACGTCTGCAAGATGTCTGTTAAAGATCTCTTCATCTGGAAAGCATCTGCTGTGTACAAACATCTGATAAACATCTTTAAGATATCAGTTTTGCACACATTCTGAATCTGCCCTCAAAATTATTGCAGTTTCCCAGTCATAGGCCTACAACTTGAGCAGCAGTTCATGTCCATTTTGTGCATATTCATTTTGATAGCATGTGAAGGAAGCATAAATGGTGGCCTAGGACTAAAACCTACACTGTAAAAAAAATTACCGTGAATTTAACGGTAAAAGACTGTAAAAATGCTACAGTAAAAACCTGTTAAATTGTTATCGGTAAATTCCCCAACTATACACGGTGAAAAACTGTATTGGACATTACATGTAATCTTACGGTAGTGTACCATTTTTGGAAGTGAAAAAGACTGTAATTTACAGTGAATAACCGTAAATTGACATTCCCAGAATTCCCTGCGTTACATTTCAAATTTGATGATTTTTTGTTGAAATAACTGTTTCTTCTTAGTTGTTTCTTATCAGTTTTGTATATTAGGGTTGTATGTTACACCTAATGTTGTTAAATGAATGTTTATTGCATTATTTCAGTTTCATATGTGTTACCATGATGGTGTTTAGTGTTTGTGTGAATGACACTGTGCACCTTCTATCAGGGATGCGGGAAGTAGGGGTGCTGAGGGAGCTGCAGCACCCCCTGTTTTCACATGGTTGCAAATGCAACGCCAGGTTTGTTCATTTAAATTTATTTAGTTTTAGCATTTAATAATTTATCTGTAATGATCTCTGAAATGTAAATTGTACGTGGGCTATAATAAACCCATGTTTATCTTTATAAACATGATTAATTTTACTTGATGTTTTCTATATGTGATGATTAGCCTAATCCTCATGAACACGTGACGCTAGCGCCCCCGCCTTCTATATATGTTATTATTTAAAAGCTGCTTGTGATGGGCTTTGGTTCATCATGTGACTTTCTCATCACCACCTGCATTTGGTGGTTATCAGTGTATTACAAAGGTACAAAACAGATTTCAGTGCTTCAATAGG